AAAATCTGTCGTTGCTACATGATAATGAAGATAGTATGTGTCCATTTTTAATTAATAAAATTTTTAAGTAATTTTATTGGCCTATTTTTAAAGGCATTTAATGTTTCTGCTGTAAAAAGTTAATTTAATAATATAAACAATATCAATTCTTATTGGACCGCTAAATTTCAAATTGAATAAGACAATGCCACAGCGGTCTAAGCTGGATCACGGGTGCTTCTAAATAATTGCGTGTGAATTTATATACTACGTATGTAATTCTTCGATTGCGCGCCGAAATTTCTTCACACTTGAAACGCAACACTAATAAACGAAGATCGTGATCCAACTTAGACCGCTGTGGCATTGTCTCATTCGGTTAAAAATATAAGTTTTTAAATGGAATATTTTTCGAAATATGTAAAAACTTAAATATTAATCAATTTGAAATTATATTACATATTTTACATTCTTCCAGCGAATTTAGTTATTTCGCTCATTTCATTAGATTTTCTATCTAGTCGTGCAACTGCCGATAACATTCTCCGCAAAATTTTATTTGATTTGAAACTCTTAATTATTATTACTGAACACAGAATTATAGCTACCTATCATTATTACTTATTTATCGGCATATCTGACTAACTCCGAGGTGCACTAAGAATGACTCAGAAGTGAGTTAAAATGTGTTAAAAACTTTTTATTATAAAGTGTTTTTAATGTGTAATTTCGTGACATTTTTTTATTTACTATATTGGCACTTTGACGCACATGACTCTTATTTACCCTTACTCTCTTTTAATATACTTAATGCATTACTTATATTATTAATATCGCCAGATGGATGCCGATATGTTTTTTTTCTCAAAATCTGTTCGTCGATTTCTCTCATATTTATTATTTTTTACATTTGTCACAAAATATATGATAATATCGCCAATATGTGCTAACAAGAACTACCTATCACTCGTCTTTATGCAAAATTTCCAATCAATATCAAAGCGAACGTTTCGTGTTCGCTTTAATATCATATTGAAGCTTTATTTAATACATATATGTATTAGTACTGTTACGATTTTATATGAATTTATATTGTCCAATAACGATATTTGTAAGCGCTATTGCGTCAGTTAATTTTATTGATTTGTAAAAATATGACATACGTAATTATCATTATCACATTGCATTAAATCTAGTATAAGAGTAGTTTGAAAAGAAGTGATTTATATAAATTTTTATTATAAAATAGTAGAAGTTTAACGTAACATAATAAATATTTTAATGTATAACTTATTAATATAATTTTGAATATACTACGTTTTGAATAAACAGTGTGGCTATTAAAAAAAATTAGAGAAGTATTTTAATAATTCTATGTTGAAATAATATAATGAAATCAATGTTTAGATAAGTTGTGATATGTTATCGATGTAATAGTATGTAATCGATATGTAATAGTAAAACATCAGAAAGTACCGTAATACTACATTTTTATATAATAAGAAATATTTGTGTTAAAAAAATGTTATTTTTATTTATTAGAAATAAAAAATATGACTAACACATACAAATGAAATAATAAAAAGATTTAGGACATAAATGACTAAATTATTTTTATCTTTAATTTTCCCAAAATCCTATGTTATACTATTTTTATCCATTTCATTAAGTTCTTTTTTCTTTCAATAATTTTCTGATTTGAGAAAATTAGAATCACGTTATCTGAAAAAATTATATGGTAATAAGTCGGTTTTTTACTTCTTTGATACAATTAAAATAACAAACAACTATCGATTGATCAAAAACTGTTAATTGATTACTTCCTATGCAATCTTTTTTAGAGTAATTTTTAATTGATCCTATGCAATCTTTTTTAGAGTAATTTTTAATTGATCCGCTTCAATAATTTTCTTCAAAGTCATTATCAATGATGGTAAACCACCTCCAATCCTTTTCATTTTAAAGACTGCCATCTTTGTTACGAAATTTTTGAAATCATCATTGTACTGGCCATTCGTTTGTACTTTTCTAGGCAAATGCTTCGACTCATTCTTTCTGTTTTAGAATCTAGTTTAAATTAGATTAAAAATATTTGGAATTGCTTCTTTTTCATACATAATAATAATGATAACTAATTGATCACAAAATTAACATTGAAAACCAAATTATACTAGCATAATTAACAAAGTAAAATCTGCGTTTAAAAATGATACAACATGAACACAATTGACTGTATCCTTATTATAGAATAAAGCTGCCAAAGTTTAAAATAGTAAAAACTGACATTATTTTTGCATCAACCAGCAACTGAGCAAAGGCAATCAATATAGAGTTAAGACTACGGCACCAAATTTTTCATGTTAAATATTTTTAGCGCTTAGCTTGTGTGACATAAATACTACCGTTTAGAAACAGAATTGTTCTTCAATGAGAATTTAAGGATGTTTGTACATATTTTCAATATGATAAAATTACAGATTATTCTAAATCGCATTTAAAAATAATACGACAAATTTGGTGACTATTTATTATCCGAATTATAAGCTATTTTAATAAAGTAGTATTTTTTAAATCTGTGCTATAATAAAAAGTAGTATTGTTTTTATCTGTACTCTAATAAAAATGTATAGAAATGTATTATAAAATAAACGATAAAAATCTCGACTTTTTAATACAAATATATCATGTATTTAAAATTATTTATGTACTTTTTGCAATATATGAATTAGTTGTCCAGTAAATAAACAAAATATTTATTCGTTCTATATCTTTGTAATTAATCAGTGAATCGCAATAAAACTTTGCATAAGTTATTTTGAATATTTAAAATATTACAAAAAATATTTAAAAATTTAAATTTATTTATCACTTTTTAAATTTTATTTTATAACAATAAAAATAATAACAAATAAAATAAAAGACTATAAAAATGTGTGTTCTATAAAAACGGAATGTTTTGAAAACAACATACATACATATATGTAAAGAATAAATATTAAAAAACAAAATAATAGATAACAACCGTTACGAGCAATTATAAGTTGTAATTAATCATAAACAATTATACAATCAAAAGATCAAAAATTAATATAATCTCTAAAATAACATTGTATGATACATCGATAAAAATTCCAATAACAAACGTTTCAGCTTCACAGAGCCTTCATCAGTGTAGAACCATAATATATAATCGTTATTTTTTGATGGAAACTATATATCGGTATAATTTTTTAATAAATTCTTGATTTTAACCTTCATTAGATGTTATTCTTCTTTCAATTCAAATACAGTCTCCTCCATCCAGTAGGTCATATTGAATTCCAGAAAAGAATTTGATCGTTGAAATGCGAAAATTCAATTATGTCAACAATCTAAATATATAATTAAGAATACAATTTAGTCATATTTAATCTAGATTTACTATTGTTAAACCGTAAAATAACTCACATTGTCAATCATTAAAATAACTTTCCAAATTAAAAAAGAAGAAGAACAAATAACATGTTGAAACCACCAGCGATATTAACGAAATGACGCTGTAACATATGAAAGTCAAACAACGATTCAAAATAAATATTAACACATTTGTAAAAATGAGTATAATTGTACATCCTTAAGAATATAGTCGCTCTCCATTTTTTTGTTCTCTCGCTCTCAAGTCCATTTTATGAAATATTATACGGTCTAAGCTAAAATAATCGTACAAGAGACGAAAACGATGATGTTTCTTAATCGTAAATTTACAGATTCGAATTTTGCATCATATACTATCTTTGCGTATATAGAACACGCGTAGACGAATCCAAACTATCAATTAAGCCTGATAAGAACTCGATGGGCCCCGTCATCGTTTTTGAGATTCAATAATCTTGGGCACTCGCAATTGGCCGACATATATGATAGATACACGGAACAATTTCTTGATACGTGTGTACTTGGTGTGAGAAACTACTGTATTTTTCGATGGAAATTTCCATTTCAAACTTTAACTAGCTCTGTTCGTAGGACATGTATAGAAAGAATAAAAATGCTTTTATTGTGTAATTCAAACTCAAACTATCGATAGATTAAGCCTAATAATAATTCGATTGATTCGGCCGCGTTTCTAAGAAATTATCCGATAATTTCGCAAGTAGTTGTATATATGTAAATACACGGAGCGATTTTGTACTACACGTACACTTAGCTATCGTGTCTCTTGATATTTTAAAAGTAATTAGGTATATCCGTAATCTAATAATTTTAATTTATTTTTCTCTTTTATAAGCGAAAAAGAGAAGCTTATAATATGATGTATAATATATGCAAAAAATTAAGAGAATCACACATCGAAAAATGACGAATTTTATCTTAATGTGTCTACGCTTCTTTGATCGACCATTTGTGTCTAAGTTTTTGTAGATAGCTGTCATTTTTGCATCTGATTTACCAACTCATCCCTCAAATTTGCAGAGCGCATTAAATACAGCGGGAGGAACGCACTATTAGACCCAATTAACGAGTAAACGCACGTTCGCGATGTCGTTGTCATAATCGCTGTACCGAAACAGCACTCGAATAATCTCCACGACTGTAACTTGGAGTAAACAGTTACCAGGTATAATTGCATAAACATTAGAGAGACGCAACAAAATAGAGCCGGTGGAGATAAGGTTCTACATTCTAGACCCCGGAGGTGCAACGGAGACAAGTAGAGACTGATGGAGGAGAAACGGAGAAGCACTCTATTTGTTTTTGTGTAGATGACAACTACGTCGAAGTTGCTCGAAGCATTCGTTCCCTACATATAAATAGGGGAATCTATTTAGTTAAAAGAAGGTGTGGTGCCGAACAGACCAATCCGACCGGTTCATTTGTCCTCCAGCCTCCGTAGAGCATTTCGTTTATTAGTGCGTTGTTTCAATCGAGACTCAGTGACGGAGAACCAGCTAGACGAGAATCGTCGATTGTATCGATAGCGTATCAGTTGTGCGAGAACCGTTGATCGTAACCGTCAATACCTACGAGTCGAGAGACTCAAACGTTTCCTTGGAGACACACGTGCGACCACTGACTATTTACTGGCAATATCAATAAATAAAGTTTCCGAGAGACACTTCTTTGCGAGCGACAAGATGTTGGTGCCCAGCTTTCGTGAACATTGGAACGTTTGCGCCTCCGATATTGCTCGGAAAACGCACAATCCCGTAAGGTCCATCGTAGAGAATATGGTTATCGAGCCCAATCCTGAAAAGAAGATGATCGCGTTGTCTATTGGTGAGTTTATTCTATATGTAGGAATTGTTTCATTGTGAGTCTAATTATAAAAATACTTGCTTTGTACGAAAAGAATCTTTTAGTTTTTAAAATTGCGTGAGGGTTATTGAACGACGAAGTTCAATATAAAGTAAAATTATAGATTTTGTTTATAATATTATATATAGAATGTTTTTTCTACACACACACACAATCACAATATATTTAAAGAAAAACTAAATTTAAACTAAATAATGTAAAATAAGAAATTTAATAATTGTGAAAAATGCTTAAAAAACGTATCAATTTCTGAAATATTATATTTGGGTATTGTATGTGATATTTAAGAATTTAGCGATACCTCATTTGCATTATACATATATAATATTTAAAATTCATCATTAATACTTTAGGATTTTTGAGATTGCCATTCTTTTACTCTATGTATAAAAGAATAAAGATAGAAAAATACAAAATAGTCTATCGTGATACGGACTGCAATCGAGAAGACGCTATTAGCGCTATTTGTATCATTCTATCTTCATTTCGTCTATTAGATGTGAAACAAGAATAATGTACAAGGATAGAACACAAACAGCGCTAATAGCGTGTTCTCCGAACACAGCTATGGTGTAATTAAACAGTTGTTTATCTTCACGCAGCGTAAGGATGATGGAGCCAAAGGTTGATCATTTTTCTTTGAAATAAAAGGAAAGATTTGGTCACATCTATTTATTTATTTTTTTTTTCAAATACAAGAAATATCTATAAAATTTTTCATAAAATTTTTTGCGTTATCTTTGGGTAAACTTTATTGTTATATACTAGTCTATTATCATTAAATTCTTGTAGTATCTTTTATAAATATTTGGAATCAATACTTTCCCCTGAAATGTTTCCCTCTTGAACGAGAGATAATTACGTGTCATAATATTTATTTTTAGGTTTGAGAAATCTTTTTTTTTTATACACGCGTGCGACCAAGCAAAATTATAATTTGCGCTAGTGTCTGATGTATGAGAATGGATAATTATATGTAAATAACTTAATATATAAAAGATTAATATGTAAAAAATTAAGTGCATAAGAATGAAAAATATAAAATTATTATTTTTATTCGTTTTACTTACAGCACACTTTGTGAAAAACGTTACGCAAATAGGGGGTCACTTACAAAGGCTCTGAATACCGGCTTTGTCGGTAAACGCGGATAAATGCATACAAATTGCAAACTTTCGCTGTTCCCCGCGAGTACGGTTAGATCCTCAATATGCATGATCTCCGGAGCTTGATGTGAAAAAAGTTTGACGGATTGGTGAAAAATGGAAGGTCAAATATATCCCATGCGAGGGAAATATGCTAGAATATGAAAAAGCGCATTTTGAGCAACTCTAGAGACCCACAGGAACTGGGTTGGAAATACCGAACTGCGTTCAATGCGATCTATTTGTTTTTTTTTCAAACACAAGAAATATCTATAAAATTTTTCGTGCGTTATCTTTGGGTTAACTTTATCGTTATATGCTAGTCTATTATCATTAAATTCTTGTAGTATCTTTTATAAATATTTGGAATCAATACTTTCTCCTAAAATATTTCTCTCTTAAATGAGAGATAATTACGTGTCCTAATATTTATTTTTAGGTTTAAGAAATCTTTTTTATCATAAGATTGCATTGATACTACTAAACTTACTATCAAATTGTAGACAAATATAGAGTAAATTACGTATCATTTTATAAAAAGTTGATAAGATATAATTATTTAGAGTTTTATATAAATATTACTCAACAAAATTACCTTTTTAAAAAAAAGGAAAAAAAAGGCGCCAAGTGTGTTAGCCTCACAAAATAAAATGAAATCTTTTTAGATTGCGCCAATTATGAAAGGAATATATTTTCTTGACACATATATAACATACTTTATTTCAAAAAGTAAAAGTACAAAAAACTTGGCGCTGCTAGACCTCAAAATATACAATAATAAGATGGTTATTAAATAATTCCGATGAATATGAAAAATAATAAGAAATTAATAGAAAAAGAAATAAGAACTCGTTATATAAAAATAAACAATATGAAGAGTCAAGGGTGATATAAAAAAAATAATAAGGTCTCTCTCTCTCTAGCAGCGCCAAGTTTTTTGTACTTTTACTTTTTGAAATAAAGTATGTTATATATGTGTCAAGAAAATATATTCCTTTCATAATTGGCGCAATCTAAAAAGATTTCATTTTATTTTGTGAGACTAACACACTTGGCGTCTTTTTTTCCTTTTTTTTAAAAAGGTAATTTTGTTGAGAT